GTTGTTTCCATCTTTTTGCTATTGTGAACAGTGCTGCAATGAACATGGGTGTGCATATATCTATTCATGTGACGGCTCTTATTTCTCCAGGATATATTCCAAGGAGCAGGATTGCTGGATCATATGGTACTTCTTCTATTTCTAGCTTTTTAAGGACGCGCCAAATCGATTTCCAAAGTGGTTGTACCATTTCACATTCCCACCAACAGTGTATAAGTGTTCCAGTCTCTCCACAACTTCTCTAGCATTTATTATTTTGTGTTTTTGGATTAATGCTAGCCTTGTTGGGGTAAGATGGTATCTCATTGTAGTTTTGATTTGCATTTCTCAAATGGCTAATGATCGTGAGCATTTCTTCATGTGTCTGTTAGCCACCTGAATGTCTTCTTTGGCAAAGTGCCTGTTCACATCCTTTGCCTATTTTTCAATTGGGTTATTTGTCTTTTTGTTGTCGAGGTTTTGCAGTATCTTGTAGATTTTAGAGATTAGACGCTGATCAGATTTGTTGTAGCCAAAATGTTTTTCCCAGTCTATAGGTTGTCTTTGGAGCCTTTTGGTGAAGTCTTTTGATGAGCATAGTGTTTGATTTTTAGGAGCTCCCAGTCATCTAGTCTCTCTTCTGGTGCTTGTGCATTGTTGCTTATGGTTCGTATTCTGTTTATGGAGGGCCGGCTTGTTACCCACCCCACCCTGGTGTCTGCTCCAGGCCAAGCAATCTGCCTCCCCTGTCCATGTGTAAACAGCATTGGTTATCAGACAGAGTGGGAACCTGGGTTCTAGGCCCGCCATTCACCCTGCCCAGAGCATAACCATGAACAAGCCCCTTTCACTCTGTGGGCCCCAGTTTCCTCGTGTGTTCAAAGAGGAATCAGATAAGATGGCCTCTGAAATCCTTCTGGTTGTGATGTTTCAAGATCTGCCCTGGCCCACCCACAGTTCCACAAGCCCTCACCCTGTTTTCCTCATCATGCTCTGCTCAGAACTCTCCTCCTCCAGGAAGCCTCCTCTGATTACTGCCACCTCTTGCCCTCCCCTTAACCTTAGGTACTCAATGAACACCACCTTAACCTTCCTGGACTACTGACTACACCTCGGGAGTCCAGTGGTTTCTAACTCACCCTCCATGGATCCCTGAGGGCCTGCTGGGGCTGGCGAGGGAGGGAGGCCCACTGGACTGGGACCACCCTCACATAACCGCCCAGTTGTTGGAAGGAAGGGCTGTACAGCTTCAGAAGAGTTTGAAAACTATAGATCTAGCCACTGGTTCCTAGATGTTAGAATTCCACGAACCAACTAATAAATCAACTTAATTTAAAGAATCCCCATAAAGTTGCCAACTTTTTATTTTGACAAGTGAAGACTTTGTTGGGGTGGGGGGAACCCACCATCCACTATTACCTAGCTTCCTAAAACGAAAGAACTTAAAACTCAAAAAAATTAAGAACAGCATCATTTCAGAATAAAGGACAATCCTTCTAATTGGATAAGACTAGCTTTATGAAAATGCTCTATGTGGTTATTATTTTTCTCATTTTGCTGTGAAACAGCTCTGATTGGCCAATTACCATCAGGGAACCACTGATGGATCTCAAAACTGCAGTGGTGCATGGAGGAGATACTGAGGCCCAGAGAGGGCAAGGGAGTTCCCCCAGGTAACACAGCGAGAGAATGGCAGAAGCAGGCCAGAACTTTCCATCTTGCCCCACCATGTGGCCCCAATTGGCTCCTTTCACCCTCTCTGCCCAGTTCTCCTCCTCTCCCTTAGCAGCATCTCTCTGTGGCTCACCCTTACTTACCCTCAGGTGAGACACGATAGCCACTCCCCCGCATCCCCAGCTGGGTGCCCGCCTTGCTCCAGGACACGACTGGGGCTGGGATGCCCGTGCTGTGGCACGTGAGGACCACAGGTGCCATCTTGGTCACGGTGAAGTCCGTCTGGTCATCGGCAATGGTAGGAGGCACTGAAATGCAAGATAAGGCTTGAGGTCCTGCTGAGGTCCGCTGGGGACACAAGCCACGGGGACCAGAGGGTGATAACTATGAATGGAGACTCAGATACAAAGTGAACCATCAGTGACCAAGGGCCAGGGAAGGATGTGCAACGGAGGCGAAGTCACGGTCGCTCATTCAGCAACTATTTTCGCTGGGGGCAGGGATACAGTCCCAGGGAGCTTTCTATAAAGATACTGGCCCTGTCACTTCAGAGGAGAGAGGGTTTCCCAAGAGAAGGGGCTTTGTGGGAGCAATCCAGCTTGGAGTGGGGGAAGCTAGAGAAGTCTCCTGGGGGAAGTGGAACTTAACCTGAGATCTGAAGGACAAGCAGGTGTTGGCTAGGTGAAGGGTGAAGGGAAGAGTGTTCTGGCAGGGGGAACAGCATGTGTGAAGGCTCCAGGTCAGGAACAACAAGCTGAGCAGCATGACTGGATCCCAGAGTGAGGCCAGCTGCAGTGCAAGCTGCACCTGAGGGGTAGGGGGCAGTGGGGCTGGACCATAAAGGACCTTGTGGCTGTGGTGAAACTTTGGATTCAGTCCTGAGGGCAGTGGGCAGCCATGGAGGGAGGGATTTTGATTTGGTTGATGACAAAGTCAGATTTGGATTTGGAAAGTTCTAGATTGGGGAAGGGCCTCTCTTGCAAGCTAGGAACTATGCTGGAGTTAGGGTTACATCAGTGTGGGTGAGATAGATCAGAGAGGGCTTCCTGGAGGAGGTCGCCTGTGAAGCAGGAAGGCCGAGAGGAAACCAGTGCAAGCCCCTGCAGGCAGAGAGAGCCCCCGAGAAAGAGCAAGTGCCTGTCCCTACCCCACCCCAGGTTTCCTCACCCGCCTCCCACTCACCATGAATAGTCACCTGGTAGATCCTGCGGGCCTCACCCATCTCATTGCTCACCACACACTCAAACTGGCCTGAGTCCTGGGGCCTGGGGGCTGCGAGGAGCAGGGCATTGGAGGGCAGGAGCCTGGGATGGAAGGACGGACAGAGGGTTGGCTGCCGAGTGAATGACCAGCCCGATCTGATACAAGCCACTATGGCCTCCCTGCCAGGCCAGTCGGATGTGGGGGTCTCATGGCCATTTCCCCTCCCTGCACCTAGACCCTGGCCCTTACGCTACAAGTTTCTTCTAGAAGTTTTTACCCCCTCCCCAAAGATCAGCAGTAGTTAACTCTAGCTTCTGGGATTGTGGGTGATTTTTGTTCTCATCCCTGCGTTTTTCTCTAACCCTGCACGTTTTCTACAGTAACCATCTATGATAACTTGTATAATAATAACCACATTCAAATCTCTATTTACAACAGCTCCTGTTTGTTGAGCACCTGCTAGACCTAGCACTAACACAATAAACGTTTGCCGAATTCATTCATCAATCAGCTTCTTTAATGCTCCCAATGATATTTAGCGATCAATTGCACTTGAGAAAATGGGGAGACTGAGGTTCCGTAGAAGGCACGTGTCCAGGATCAGCCAGCACTGACTCGAGTCCTTTTTGAACAGATAATGGCTGTCAGTGTTTTAAAGGTCATACATTTTTCTCTTTGGCTGTATGTCCCAAATAGCTCCCACCTACTGCCAATTGTCTATGTAAAGACCCTCCTGGCCCCAAGATCAGGAACATAAGTGCTGGTCTGGGCTTCGGTGAAGGAGCCCAGCTGGCGCAGTGGTTAAACTCTCAGCTGTTAACCAGAAGGTCAGTGGTTCAAACCCACCAGCCGCTCCACTGGAGAAAGATGTGGCAGTCTGCTTCTGTAAAGATTTACAGCCTTCAAAACCCTATGGGGCAGTTCTACTCTGTCCTACCGGGTTGACTAGACAGCAACGGGTTTGGTGTTTTTGGTTTGGCTTTGGTGAGACCTCAAGCATGTCCCTGCCTTACTTCAGGCCAGGTTCCTCCTCCGTGAGATGGATGTACCCTTCCCCACCTGTGCATCACTGGGAACTACTGGAGGGACCAGCTTGTTACCAGTAGGTGTCCTGCTGCGGGCGGAAGTCCAGCTTCTGTCCGTCCTTCCGCCAGACCACGAGGGGCTTGGGGGAGCCGCTGGCCTCACAAGGCAGTGAGGCCTGGGTGTGGGCGATCAAGGTCAGGTTAGAGGGGCCAGGGGTGATGGCCGGAGGCTCTGGGGAGAGAGAAGTCATCAGGAAACAGGGCACAGGATTGGGGGCAGGGGCACAGGGCACTGGCTACTACCCTCAACCCATCCCTAGGGAAGCAAGAGGATAGTGGGCCAGAGGGAAAAATTCCAACAGGCTCTCAAAGCTGGGGCATCCCACAAATCATCTCTCCTTGAACAAGGCCTCCAGGCCTCCACTGGTCCCATCAGCCCCCGAGGCCAGGGCCCCCAGAGTGGCCTCAACCAAAGTGTCCATTGGAGTGGGAAGAGATTAGAGCGTTGGATTACAGTGATGTTTAGTCTTACTCTTTCCAATTTTTACTTTTTGTGCGTGCCTTATCACATACTTAATGTAATAGTACAGTGGTAAGTATACGTAATACATGCATGAAAATTAATAGGCACACTTTGTGCATGCTCAAAATTTTTACTCATGGGCTTCACGATCAGAAATATTTGGAAAGCACTGCTCTTGGCTCTGGACATCCAGGGTGGCCCTGAAGCCAAGCAAGACACAGTCTAGACAGGGGGCTGGATGCTGAAGGCAGGGAACAGACACTTCCTCGTCCACCTACCAAAGACCTGGAGGTCGCGGCCTTGCCGATCAGAGCCAGCGGAGCTGGATGCCAGGCAGACGTAGTGGCCAGTGTCCTGGGCCAGGACCGGCTGGATCCTCAGAGAACCCTCGGGCAGAATCTCCAATCTGGAAAGGAGGGAGGGATCGCCATGGAGACCAGCAGGCCCAGCTGGGCACTGTGAAGGGCTGGACCCCTGGTGGTGTCTCCAGAAAAACCTTCCTCCTCACCCTCAGCTTTCCCAGCAAGACGGTGTAACTCAGGAGTCAGAGTCCTGAGTCCATGAGGCCAAGGTCAGAGGGTCACAGTTCCCCACACCCAGCCCAGGGTCAGAAAGAACAAGAGAGGAGCTGCTTAGGGCCTCCCATGTTCCTGCCTGGGTCCAGCCTCTCCCAGAGAGTCATCAGGGAGAGGTAGCTCCACTCTTTCTGAGAACGACCCCTAGATCTGAGAACTACCTCTTCCCAAAGACCAGGCCCACAGCCAGGTCTGCACTGTGTAATCCTGCCCCTGGCCACAGTTGATTGAATTGGGGATGGACATGTCACTCAGGCTGGGCCAACAGAATTCTATGCCCTGGAAATTTGGAATTGGATTCACAATACCTCACTAGGCTCTGCAGGTCGGGGGAAGTGAGAAATTGTAAACTTGGGAACATCTCTGCCATGTGCACAGAGGAAGAAGGTGTGAAACTGGTCTGAGAGGAGAGAGGCGTGAAGCACCCCACACACAGAAGCAGACAAAGCAGACAGCATCTCAACGCCCTTAACGAGTGGACATGTCTGTCCCTATGTTTTGATGACACCCTATGTTGTGATGATAAAGTCAATGTCCTGCTCCAACTGCCTGCGTGGGTTTTTGTTTACACCCCACAGAGCGGCACTGAGACACTCCTCAGTGCCCTCCCCCTTCCAGCTCCCACCTTGGGTTCCCAAGATCCAGGGGTTCCCCATCCTTTCGCCAGCTCACAAGGGGCCGGGGGACTCCATCCACCTGGCAGGCCAGCAGGGCTGTGTGGTTCACTGAGGCATTCACTGTGGGTGGCCCCGGCTGGATGGTGGGTGTTGCTGGAGGAGGAGCAGAGGAAGCAGGTGCTGGGAGCCCGAGGGGGCTCTGGGGGAGTGGGGTGGGTGGGGCAGGGGCAGGGCGCACTCACTGTGGATGTCCACGTGGAAGGCCACGCTAGTGCTGCCCGCAGCGTTGCGCGCTGTACAGCTGTAGTCACCACTGTCAGCAATGCTCAGGGCCTGCAGCTGGAGGAACCTGCCCCGCTCCAGAAACTGTGTGTGGGCATCTGCCTGCAGAGCCCCGCAGGGCAGAGAGACCATCATCAGCTCTGTGCCAGGCCCCAGGCCCTTCGGCCAACAGTAGGCGAAGAAGACCGAGAAACCAGTGAGGCCAACAGTGGCCTTTGCCCCATTCTGAGCTGGCCTGCAGCCCCTGACTCAATGCCCAGCTGAAAACCCTCTGGGGAAATGGGCTGCTCAGGCAGGGACTAAGCACCCTGTCCTGGAGCTCTGTCTGTCCGGGGTGTTGCAGAGGGGACTGATGCGCAGATAAGGAGATGGAGCTCCCGCTGCAAGGCCCTGCAGTCCTTGTGTCCACAGCAGCCAACTGGCCCCACTGGAGGGAGGAGCTCGAAAAACTCAGTAACTGGCCCAAGTCACACAGCCTCTAAGTGCAGCTGGAAGGTGCAATGGGAAGAAGCCCTGGTGCAAATCTCAGTCTTGCCTCAGTGTTCCCATCCACGAAATGGGGATGACAGAAATAATGGGGCGGAAGAATGCACAGGTAGGAGAGCAATATGCAGTGTGCCCTCAGCACCCTGGATCTGGTCTGGTCAGGGCCTAGGGCCTGAAAGGGACAGAAGGCAGAGTCCCCAGGTCCCCAGGCTGGCACCCACCTGCAACAGGATACCCTCTCGGTGCCACTCGATCTCGGGCGCTGGCTCTGCCTCCACTGAGCAGTCCAGGACCAGCTGCCCTGGGGCCAGGCCAACCACATAGCGGGAAGCTTGAGGTCCAACAACACTTGGAGGGGCTGGGCAGGGGCAGAGAGGACAGGAGAGATGGACTCGCCCCGGTGGGCTGTGTCCTACCTCCCAACTCTGTCCCAGCCTCTGCACCCCCTACCTTGAACTCTGACCCAGAAACTCTTCTCGACTTCACCAGCAGGGTTCTTGGCCAGGCAAGTGTACAGCCCAGCATCGCTCACCTGGGAACGGAGTAGAGTGAGCACCTGTCTCTGCCCCTGCCTGCTCACCTCCCAACCTGGTTTCCTTCCTACATATGGCTGCTCACTCCCCTATACTGCCATCCCAGCCAACCCATTCCCCCTGCCTGGAATGTTCCTTCTCTACCTCCATCTCACCCTTGCTTCAGGGACTAGAGCAAGGTCTGCCTCTTCCAGAAAGTCTTCCCTGACTGTGCCAACCCTCCTTTGCCCCGGGACTCCGTGGATGGGGAGTTATCTGGTTTGTGCATCAGCCTCGGCTCTGACCTGGCTGGGAGGTCCCCGAGAGCATGGCCCATGTGGGTTGTCTCTATATCCTCATACCCTGCACAGGGCTGGGTACAAAGGAGGCCTCTTCCCCTCCCCCCAGGCTCATCCCACAGCAGGCACCTGTACACCCTGGACCTGGAACACCCGCCGGGCTCCGTTGCTGTTCTCTGGCCTGCTCAGGGCCTGTCCGTCCTTATGCCAGGTGATGTTGGGTTGGGGGTTGCCCCGGGCATCACAGAGGAGCTCCAAGGGGGTGCCAGGGGTCAGCAACAGCTCTGCAGTCTGGCCTGAGTCCTCAATATGGGGGGGATCTGGAAGAAACACCCCCTACCCAGTCAGCGGTTGGGTTCACAGCAGGGGGCTGGGAGCTGGGGCTCATCTCCCCACTACTCCCCACCCACCAGGAGCTGACAGCAGACAGGGCCACCAACAGGCAGGTGACGGGTCTATTGGAGGGTACAGAAAACATCAGAAACCATCTTCCAGAAACAGTACTGACCCTCGAAGGTGAGCAGCAATCAGCAGTGCTCTAAACCAGCAAGGGTGCAGTGTGGAGGGAAGGCACAACTCACACAAATTTTTCCACCATAGCACAACACTCATAAAATTATTGCTTGAAACTTAGGGCTCTGTCCCCAGATTTTGGTGGCTCTTGTTCTTGCTTATGCCATCAAGCTTTGGTGGACAAGACCGAGGCTGGCGGCCCCAAGAGAATAAAACATCCCAGCAGCCCACGCGCCTTCGTTCAAGGTCAGCGACCCATATGGACCCAGCTGGTTTCCTAAGCCCTGCTTCCAGGCAGCATCCCCAAGCCTCTGGGGTCTCGCCTCCCGCCACATCCCTTCCATCATGCCCGCTGCCAGGGAAGATGACCCACCCATCACTGTCAGCTGGAAATGCCCCCTCGCTTCGCCTGCCTCGCTTGTGGCCACACAGGAGTAGGTCCCCGAGTCACCAGCCCCTACTGTCTCCAGCTGCAGGCCGGGCCCCTGCTCAAGGCTCTGGGGAAACAAGGGCTCCCCGTCCTTCATCCATGACACAAGAGGTGGGGGTATGCCCCGGGCCTCGCAGGGGAGGACCACTGAGGAGCCACGGACCACTGCCACGTCTTTCTGGAACTCCACCGGCTCCAGGACAGGGGGCACTGTGGAGGCAAAGGGGTCGGCAGGAGTCATTTTATTCCATGCCAGGCGGCCCTCACTTCTGGACTCTTGCACAGGTTGTTCCTATTGGCCAGAAGGCGCTTCTCCTGGACAATTCCTTCTCATCTTCAATTCTGGGCTTAGACCTCGCCTCCTGCAGGAAGCCTTCCCTGAACCTCCAAGGCCAGGTGAGTTCCCTCCTCTATGCTCCCACAGCATCCTGTAACCAGTTGCCATGGAGTCGACTCATGGCAACCGTATGTTGGCCAGAGTAGAACTGTGATCCACAGGGTTTTCAATGGCTGAGTTTTTGGAAGTAGATCACCAAGCCTTTCTTAAGAGGTGCCTCTGGGTGGACTTGAACCTCCAACCTTTCATTTAGCAGCTGAGCGCATAAACCATTTGCACCACCCAGGGACTCCTCAGCATCTTCTACTTCCCCCCGAATTGCAATTGTCTCTTTACAGAGCTGCTTCCCACACTGACCTCCTGTGGGCAGGGGCCACCTCTGCTCGCAGCTGCATTCTGGTGCCTGGCAAGTCCCAGGCTTACCAGAACATCTAACAACTACTTGTGAGATGAATGAATGAATAACAGAATCCATCAAAGACCAGGTCCCCGTGTTGGCCCCGCCTTCATACCCATGAGGGCTGACCCTTCCTTCCGCCCAGACGAGCAGAGGGGACAAGGGTCTTGATTCTCACCCGTCAAGGCCAAAGGACCTGTGTACTCCACCCCTTGCTCCATACCGTGCACGTGCAAGGTGAAGTTCCTGTCGGCCACGCCGGCTGGGCTTGCGGCCATGCAGGTGAAGATGCCCGAATCTGCCAACTGCACCTGGGAAATCCTGAACACACAAGAGCAGCAAGAGAGAGGCAGGCTCAGTGGACATGCCTTAACACGTGAGCCTGAATAAGTTCAGACTCTGCTTAAACCCCTTTACTGGCTCCCCAGTGCCCCCACGGTAAAGCCCCAAACTTCTCTCCCCGGGCCTGGCCCTGCTGCCATCTTGACCTCATCTGGCTCCACAGCCAGACTTCCTGCTTCCCAAATTCTGCAGGCTTCTCTGGTCTCTAGGCCTCCACTGGTCCTGCCGTGCAGACAGCCTCCCTCTTTGTCTTCAGGACTCTACAAGAGTTGTCTCCACTTTCTGTCCTCCCACTTTCTTGAGAACCCACTCCAATCAGGTTCTTGCCCGAACTGCTCCTCCTAAACTTCTCTTGTCAAGGTCACGACTAACTGGTACGTTGCCAACGTCAATGGTCAATTCTCAAGCCTTGTCTCATTTGGTCCTTGGTCTCTCCCTGAATCACTATCTCCATGTGGCTCCCAATAAGGCACACTCTCCTCCATCTCCTCCTGCTCCCCGGTTGCTCCTGCTCCACCTTCTTCCTTGGCCCTTCTCTCTTTAGACTTGGCCTAAGCTGGCAGCCAGGACTGCTGTCCACGCTCACCCTGGGGGTTACAGCCTGTCCCGGCTTCTAATACCACCTGTTGGCTGACAAACCCCCAAATGTCCATCTCCCCTAACTCTGCAGTGGAATAGCCAACTGCCTGCTTTGCATCTCCTGTCTCAGCGCCTCTCAGACTACTGGCCAGAAGTCCCTTCTAAGAGCCTCCCAAACCCATATTTTCAAAACTGAACTCTAGGATGTCTCCTCTCAATCTGCTCTTCCCCTGTGGTCCCATCTCAGAAAACGGGAACCCCAACCTTCCAGTTCCTCGGGAGAAAAACCTTGGCCTCATCCTTGAATCTTCTCTCACTCTCGGCTCTTCACAAATCCCTGCCCAGGCCCAGGCCACATCCTGCCTCACCTGGATGGTTGCAGCAGCCCCTCACTGCCCCATCCCCCGCTTCTGTCCTCGCCCCCCAGTCTGTTGTCCACACAGCAGCCAGAAGGGTCCTTGAAGAACCTGAGTCAGATCATGGCGTTCCTATGTTGCAACCCCCACAGCTTTCCATCGTTCCCGAGGAAAACTCACAAGTCTTTCCAGGGGCTTGAAGGTCCTACAGCCCCTGGCCTCCCCCCACTGTCTTCCAGCCTCACTCTGCTCCTTGAACACTCCAGGCACGCTCCCACCTCAGGACCTCTATGTGCCGTTTGCTCCGTCTGGATGCTCTTCTCCCCCAAATCCACTTGCCCCCTTCTCTCACCTCCAGGTCTCACCTCAGATGCCACCCTAACACCCTAAAATAGCACCCTCCACTGCCACCTTCCATTCCCTCACCCTGCTTCATTCTTCTTCAGAGCATGTATCCCTCCTTACATCTGTTTTTACACACACGCACACACCTGTCCCCTATCCCTTGCAACTTGCAGGGGCAGGGACTTTGTCTTGCTCACTGCTCTATCCCTGTGCCTGAAACACTAAACAGTCCATAAGTGTCCTTGAATGCATAGACTTTCCTTGGGCACCTTCTTCCAGGAAGCCTTCCCTGATTTCCTCTGCACCAGGGCGAGGCTGAGTCGAGGGCCACCAGGTGTCACAACCGGATTCTGTGTCTGTCTCCCCCACTGGACTGTGTGAGTGCCCAAGGGTGGAGGCCCCTTCATCTCTGAGCCCCAGTGGAGTTTCATTCGGGGCTGGGGTCCTCTCACTCGCCCCATCATAAGCTTCTATCTGTCTATATTATTTTTATTTCCAAAACCACTGAGACATGTGTAAAACCAGAGCTGCCTGAAGGGTGTTACTGGGGCCTGTGATCCGGGATGGGGAGCCGCTCTCCTACCTGAGGGTGCGGCCAGAGCCGTGGACGTGTGTGCGCTGGGACAGCGGGAGGGGCAGGCCGTCCTTGAGCCAGCTCACATGGATGGGCGGGGAGCCCCGGACTGGGCACACCATGGTCACCAGCTCGCCAGGCCTGGTCACCAGGGTCCCCGTACTGCCTGCTCCCTGCTTGATGGTGGGAGGGACTGGGGTGGGCCAAGAGGACAGACAGAAACAGTGAGGGATCTGGGGGTCAGGTAGCCTCCTCTAGGGAAGTTCCAGGAGAGGGTGTCAATACCTGGAATTCCGCTACAAGCAACCATCATGGCCAGGGATTCCTAGAGTCACATCCACCCCACGTAAGGAATAAGGGCCACTGTAGGGCATGGCAGCCTCACTCTGTGGCTCTCTTTTCATTTCTGTTTATCCCCCAACTTTCCCCTGCTGGAGTGGTTGTATCTCTAGTTTGTGGACGAGGGATAGAGGGACAGAGGCCCAGAGAGTTCTGATCAGTGGCCTGGGTTGCCCAGTACGAGCAGAGCTGGGCCTCGAAGCCAGGTCTCTCACAGTCCAGCCCTTCTCTCATCTTCCCAGATGTCCCCACTGTAGGCCCCCACATTGGCCAGACTGCTGAGGCCAGGATGGTGGGGGCTGCCCTCCCCACCTGGTCCCCGGGTTTCCTCACCCAGCACGTTCACAGCGTGCAGCCTGTCATCCTCCCCAGCGGGGTTTTGGGCCACGCAGGTGTAGGCGCCAGAGTCCGAGGCCCTCAGGCCCTTCAGCACCAGGGAGCTGCCATCCAAGTAGAACCTGCCACAGGGAGGGAGAACCAAGGGCAAGTGTGTGAGGGTCTGGGGGCCCTGCCGCCTGTGGGGGGAGGGCACAAGCTTGGCCTTACCGGAGGTGGGGGCCCACGGCCTGGTCCAGCGGGCCACCGTCCTTCAGCCAGGCCACGTCTGGCGGTGGCTGCCCCTCGGCCTCACAGTCCAGCCGTACCTCCCGACCCTCTAAGACGCTGTGCTCCTGAGTGATGCCCGAGCTCCGGATCCAGGGGGCCACTGCAGCAGGGGGTTTGGGTGAGGCCAGGACAGCGGTAGGGGCTGGCATGGGGAGAGGTCTGGGAGGGGGTTGCAGGATGAAGACATACCCAGCACGGCCACCAGGAAATCTTTGCGAGCCTCAGCCGCGGCGTTCTTGGCCACGCACGTGTAGGTGCCACCCTGGGCTGGCTGCAGGCGACTCAGCTGGAGGCGGCCCCCACGGGAGACTATGCCCTGGGCCACGCTGCTCTCTGTGGGAGGAAGGAGATGCCAGGCTTGCACCCACACAGGGCCCAACGCCTCATGTGCCACCACCGGGCACAGACACAGAAGTCACATGACTCCCTGAGAGGCTCAGCATCCCCCACACTCACAAAGCCAGAAAGACCCCTGGGAACCCTCAAATCGCCCACCCCTTCTTGGGCTCATAGGGAAACTGAGGCCCAGAATGGGGCAGAGTTTCCTTCCCATATACATCACAACCTTCTGCAGCCTGTGCCCCTTTGATTGTGCTGTTCCTTAAAACCCCACCGTATTTCCGTCCACTGAGGACACTCCTTCCCAAGGCACCCAGTTTGCTTTAGTGTCCAAGAACCTGAAGACTTCTCCTCTTTCTGTTGACTGTCCAGCCCAGTCCCCACACTCCCACCCTCCCTCCAGCTCCACCCCGTACCTCCCTCTTACCTACTAAGGTGGACCAGGCGCTCAGGTCACACTCAGGCATCCCTTGGGCCTCTGCTCAGGCTGCCCCCACCCCAGCCTGGGAGGCCCCCCTTTTCATTCTCTCCAGCCCCACCTCTGCCGGAGGCCTTCTCTGACTGCACCAACCCAGGCTGACCCACCTTCTCCCAGATATTCATTTGTCCAGCCGGCTTTCAACACAAGATTTATTGAGCACCTACTATATGTCCCAACCTTGAGCTTGGGAATCAAAGATGAATAAAACACCAGCCCTGTCCTCAAGGAGTTCACAACGTATCAGAGGAGACAGACAGTGAACAAGCACAACCCACTGGGACAAGCCCTATGAATTCCCTAATGGAGCTCAGGGACCTTGTTGGGGGGCGGGGGGTCAGGGAGGGCTTCTGAGGAGGTGAGTCTCAGTTGAGACTTGAAAGTGAACAGGACTTAGCCCGTGAAAGTGGAGGTGATCAGGGTCGGGGTGGGTATTCCAGCCAGGGGAACAGCATGTGCAAAGGTCTAGAAGCAACAGCAAACAGGGCACCCAGCAGTACCACCCCTAGGTATATACTGAGAAGAAGTGAAAACATATGTCCACACAGAAACTTGTAAATACATGTTTATAGCAGCATTACTCCTAACAGTCAAGAAAACCCAAATGCCCATGAACTGATGAATTGACTAATAAAATGTGGTGTATCCACACAACAGAATAGTATTCAGCAATAAAAGGAATGAAGTTCTGATAAATGCTACAGCATGGATGGACCTGGAAAACATTATGCTGAGTGAAAGCAGTCAATCACAGAAGGTTACATATTGTATGACTGCATTTATACGGATTGTCCAGAATAGGTAAATATCCACAGAGACAGAAAGTAGACTGGTGATTGCCCAGGACTGGGACGTTTGGGGGAAATGGGAAGTGGCTGCTAACAGGTATGAGGTTTCTTTTTAGGGCGGTGAAATATTCTTAAATTAATTGTAGTAATGAGATTGCCTAACTCTGTGAAAATATTAAAAACCATTGAATTGTATACTTTAAATGGGTTATTGGATGATATGTGAATTATATCTCAATAAAGCTGTTATATAAAATACAGAGAGAGAGAACACAGGGCGTGTGCAAGGAGCCAGAAGCAGCGGGGTCTGGCTAGATCAGGGAGCATGGCTGGGGAGAGGTGGGCTGGCCACACAGGGCCCCCTGGGCCATGGCTCTGAGAGCTGGAGCAGTGAAGGATGGTCAACAGACAAATAACCCACTCAAAGCTGCACTTTCAGATTCCTTTGCCACCTTGTGGTGCCTGGATTGGAGGGCACAAGAGTGGGCCCAGTAGACTAACGTAGGGGGAAGGGGTTGCTGGCTTCACTAGTGGGGAAGGAGGAGGATGGTGGTAGTCAGAACAGGAGGAGGCTGTGGGGTGGAGAGCTTGTGTCAGAGGTGTTTGCCGGCTGACAGGGCAAGGGATTCACAGACTGACTGATGGGGTGGATGGGGAGAGAGGAAGGGGCGGGACAAGGGCAAAGGTCTGGATGGGGTTGGTGACCAACAGTGGGGCCCAGACAGAGCCGAGTTACCAAAGGAGGAGCAGCTTCTGGGGCAAGCTCGGTGTCAGGCCATTAGCACCCACCCTGCACAACGTAGAGCCCACATCTTCTGCCTCCTGAGAGCTGACTGAAGGCATGGGGACCCCACAGGAGCAGTTTTGGATGAACATTTGGATTTCAAGGGTTAATAACGTTAAAAGAAAAAGTAGGGGGTGGGTATAACTCACACTGGGCTGCCAGTCTTTTATTCTGCCAAGAACATTTAACAACCAACAACTTTCTTCTGCTTTTATTGTCCTTTCATTAAATAGTTATTTTACACTAAAAAGATAAAGAGGACATAGCGTACTCACCAACAGGCATTCTGTCCTTCAGCCACGTAACAGTGGGTGCAGGGACCCCAGTCACATCACAGGTCAGGACCAGGGGGCTCCCAGCCACCTGGCTCACTGTCTCCATCTTGGGGTTCTCAAATGTTGGGGGCACTGCAGGAAAAGAAGCCAGATTCCAGAATCTTGAGAATCTTCCCCTATTTTCCTTCCTTTCAGGCAGATCAGGGATGCCTGAGGAGCCCTTTCCTATAGTTAGGAGTTAACATTTTATGCTCTGCTGTTGAGGGAGACATGGATTGTTTTATTCACAAATGTAAATAGGACCAGTAGCTGGCTGTTACAAAGCATTTACAAAGCAGAGCCCAGGAAGAGTCCACTTAGACCAAGGATAGTCAATGCATGGCTAATGCACCAGCAGTCCTCATCCTATGCCAGGGCAGACATCACTAATCAATTCCAACACTCTCTCTTGCTCAGCCAGGATGTAGCCATGCACCCCAGGCAGCCATTACCAGTGGAACAGAGTTGGCTGGGCACAAGATGAAAGGTCTCTGCCCTTAGGGACAAGATATTCCCCACTTCCAACCATTCCTCAAAGTAGCCATCAAGAAAAGGGGCTGTGGCCTTTGAGCAGTAAGCCTGGTATCAGTCATGTCTAACAATTTCATTTAATCTGGCTCAGGGTTGGATTTATCCACTGCTTATCTGGTAGGGAGGCTACTGGCTTTGTTATGTCTGGCAGACAGCTGGTGTCCCCCAACTTGTTCTTCCCATCTTCCCCAGCAGAGTTTTAGCTGAGCACAGGGTTGCTCAAGTAGATACTACATTTCCCAGTCTCCTTTGCAGTCTGCTGTGGCCAGCTGATGAGGTTCTCTCCAATGGAATGTGACCAGAAGGGACAATATAACTTCTGCATGACTTGTTTAAGGTAAAAATGTTTGTTCTTCATTGCTGCTCTTTTCTGCCTCCTATAGGCTGGGACAGGGTGTGACATGTCCCAGCTTCAGCGACATGGACAGGGACAACACCCTAGAGGATGGAGGATCAACAAGATGGAAGGAACCTGGGTCCCTGAATCACTACATGGAGCTGAGCTACCCCACCAGCCTAGACATGTATCTCTGGGCTTTTAGATGAGACAGGTAAATTTCTCTCTCATTTAATTCACTGAATTTGGGGACTCTGTTACACAGCTTAGTCTATACCCTAACTGACAACATCTGACCCCAAGAAAATCTAGCCAGGCCTCCATCCCTTGCTTCCCTAGACAACTCAAACAGGCTCCCTCCCCCCAGAGCTCAAGCCACATATCCAATCAAATGCCATCCATGCTCTACCCTTGGGCTGATGGGACAGTCCACTTAAGCTTCAAGAGTGGAGGTGACATGGCTCCAGGCTTCCCAAGTGTCTGTTCTCTGAGGGCTCCTTTGTCCCAGTGCCTAGTTGCCATGCCATGCCTTGTGCCCAGTACTTTATAGAGACAGTCGTGGCAGTCTCATCAGATTAAGTGCTTCCTATGTACCCAGCAGGCAAGTACTGTTTTAGCTCCCCTTTACAGAAGATAGACCTGAGACTCAGAGGAGCAAAGTGACTCCACTAAACCCCACAAAGCAAACTGGTGGCAGAGCCGTATTTGGATCCTAGTCCTTTTAATTCTAGATCTCGTGCCCTTAACCACTTGGGCAGCACCCCTCCTTCCAGGTATTGCTTTTCTCATCCTTGGCAGGCCCTGTGTGATGCTCAGGGTTCTATGGAAATGCTACAAGGCTGCCCCCATACGCTAAATGCCCAGCTTACCCTGGATGGTGAGGATGAAGGCCCTCATGGCCTCCCCAGCCGCACTGCTTACTTTACAGCTGTATAAACCTTTATCTGACACCTGGGGCAGAGAGAGTGTGCAGTGAGTATGTGCATGGGGGTAATTAGGGGGGCACTCCCCCAAAACATCCAGGCCCCAGAAGCTTCAAGAGTAGCAACTCCCCAAATAGGCTGGTCCTGCCTAGGAAGCCAAAGGGAGATGAGACCTACTGGCTTTTTCCAAGAGCCTTGAGGAACAGGAGGACAGGTGGGAGGTGGGCAGGTAGCTCTGCTCACAGACTGCAGATTCCTGCCCTCCTCCGGGCCTGTGCATCAGCCAAGCTCCCTCGCTGTGGAGATGGAGCTAGGCCAGGAGGGAGGGGCCCAGAATGGATTTCCAGAAGGCCAACAAATATTCATCCAACAAACACTTCAGCGTGTCTAATCCACACCAGGGAAGGAGAACAGATTCCCAGAGAGTCACAGACTGTCATAACCAGAAGGGCCTGCAAAAAGTTTCTAGATTCTATATTTTTGTTGACAGATGAGGAAACTGAGGCAGGGAGTGTGGAAGCGACAAGTTCACTCCGTGGGTCAGTGTAGAGCAAGGTCTAGGACCCACTTCTGTGGAGCCCTGTGCTCTTCCCATATCTCCCCCTCAGTTTGGGGTCTTGCAGGCTGAGAAGGCAGCAGCCCCTACACCCTGCCCACTCACCTCCCACCCAGGCTCATCCAGAGCTGGGGAACAACACTCCCACGGCCACCCACAGCCACCCATGCCTCCCCGGCTGCTCACCTGGGTATCCAGGATCTCCAGCTTCTGCCCACCCAGCAGAGCCTGGGTCCGCTGTGTCAGGACCAGGGGCTGCCCATCTTTGTACCAGGTCACAGTAGGCTCAGGGACCGAGTCTGTCTCGCAGCTCAGGACGGCTTTGTCCCCAGCCCGCACCACAACTGTGTCTTGGGGGCCGCTGGGAGCATGCCTAAAGGTGGGGGGAACTGAGGGCAGAAAATGGAGCAGAGTAAGGTGCTGTGTTCTCCTCCTAGTCCTCCCTGGCCCCAGCCACAGGAAAGCAGTCTACGGAGGCCTACAAGGGTCAGACAGAGGACCTGACCCCCAGGGGTTAGCACAGACACAGGGAATTCGGAATAAGAGAACCCAGGCCAGTCACACAAAGACATGCTGGGTGACCTGGGAAAGGCTCCTGCCCTCTCCTGGGTCTCAGCCTCCTACGTGGGGTGAGATGTTCTGATGGCTTTCCTGGGCTCTTCCCTACCTGGATTAGAGACCTCCACAGGGGATCCAAAGTCCCCTGTCCCTTCAGCAAACCAACTCTTCCCACGTGCAGTAATTACCAATGTTGAAGCCCCACCCTCAGCTGTGAGCCCATAGGACCTGGCACGGCACCTGGAGCATAGTAGGTGAACATGCCAAACAAATGAACAAGCCGGAGGGCTATAAAGCACTTTCCAGGGAGTCCTGGCTCATGATACCTTGGACCAGCTTCTCCCCAAAAGGATTCCAAAGACCACTAGCCCTGCAACAGGCTCCGTGCCCAGAGTCTGGTGACCAAACAGGCTTGGGAAAGGCCACTTTCTCGGTCAAGCTCTTGGGGGTTTGTCACGCTGCTCCTCCTCAGCTTCACCATCATCAGAGCTTACTGCACACCAGGCACTGGACTAAGCACTGTGTATACCATCATTGAATCCTTATACTAGGCACCACCCTACAGGTGAGAAATCTGAGGCTCGGAAAGGAGCCCTTATCCTATGCCAAGGCAGACATCACTAATCAATCCCAGCACTCTCTCCTGCTCAGCCAGGATGTAGCCATGCACCCCAGGCAGCCACTACTAGTAGAACAGAGTTAGCTGGGCTAAATCAACTTGCCCAAGGTCATAGAGCAAGTGCATGCACAGCTGTATCCCAAACCCAAGTGCATCCAACTCTACAGCCATGATCTTAACCACCATGCAAGACAGTGCCACCTGGACACCATCCCTGGGAGAAACCATGGGGCGTCTCAATCTCACCCAAGGCTGGCGGCCTCTCTCCTGGTTGTGCTACCCAAGTGGTTGAAGACCCAGGGCTGAGGGTTGATTGAGCGAGTCGGGGAGAGTGCAGGTAGGGGGACAGACAGGAAACGTACCCAGCACACTGAGCTGCACCAGCTTCTGGTCTTGGCCGGCGGCGTTGAGGGCTTCACACATGTACATCCCGGAGTCTGATGGCCGCGCTCGTGCCAGGTGCAGCGTGTGGGTGCCTGCGAGGGCGAGCCCAGCCTCTGGCACCAGCAAACTGGCCCCAGCCCCCAGGCCCACTCCCCCAATCCTAAATCCCTCCCAGATTCACAGTCTGGCCCCAGGTTTGGGAAAGCAATGCCGGCTCCCCCACATAGCCTCCAGGCCAGGCTGAAGCCTCAGTTTACCCACCAGGCAGGAGGAAGAACTCTTCGCCCAGGGAGAGGGCCCTGCTGTCCTTGTACCATGTGACCTCAGGGCTCGGATGAGCGTGGACATCACAGGGGAGGGAGACGCTGCTATTGAGGATGGCAGTGACCTTTTCTGAGGTCAGGCCTGTGATTCTTGGTGGGACTATCCCCACGGCCATCAGGATAAAGAAAGACATGTGAGAATGCAGAGCAGTAGGAGGGCCGAGAGCCCATCCCCTCTGCACATTTTCAAACAACCCTATGCAGAAGCCTCTACATATCATAACTGTCTTACAGATGAGAAAACAGTCTTGTAGACCAGAGAAGGAGAGTCATTTTCCCAAGGCTACACAGCTGGTCAGTGGCAGAGCCAAACTACGAAGTGAACTTTTAATCCAAGACCTTGCGTGCTCAACGCTGTCACCCTCTCTCCCCAAGGCTGCAGTGGACACCACACCTGGAGGCAAAGCTCATGGCCACTGAGGTGCAGTGTGTGTCATGAGAGTACAGGGGCTCAGGGCACAGATTCCAGAGGCAGTGGAACTCCCCACCTGTGTGACGTCTCTGAGTCTGTTTCCACAGCTGGAAAATTGGGCTAACCTCATAGCTCTGCTGGAAGAAGTCAGCACAGGGAACATGCCCAACCCCATGCCAGGTACATAGCAAGTGCTTAATAAGTGCTGTAAGACCTCAGGAGAGCTGTTGCCTAGCTGCCTCCAAGGGTGCTTAAAATCACCTGGGGTTGCCCCAGTAGTGGTCAAGGCCACCTAAGTGCTCTCTGTCCCAAGACGCGGCTGGTGCCAGGCTGGGATCCAAGCCCAGGATATAAGAAGCACTCAGGTGCCCCGGAGCCAGAACAAGATGCTATATGTCTGCACCCCTCTGCCCCAGCCTGACATGGCTGACACGCTGTGCAGGTCAGTGACAGAGCCGGAGCAGGGCACCACAGGCCCAGCACGCCAGCCCCACCCCAGCTGGGGCCTGCTCAGCCCACCTCACCTTGGACCCTGAGGGTAAAGAGCTTCTCCGCAGAGCCCGCCTGGTTCTCAGCCACACACATGTAGGTGGCAGCGTCAGCCACCTCTGCAGTGGAAACCTGTGGGGTGCAGGGAGATGGTGCCCGGGAGATGCCACAGGCCAGATAGCCCTGGGCAGAGCCAGAGGCTCCTCCTGGGGTCCTGAAACCTGCCACTCCAGGAACGACTGTGAGGGCTCCCTCCCACCCATGGCAGGCATAAGGGGCAGCAGGCAGCTTATGGAGACCAGGAGCAGGACTGAGGATGCCCTGTTGATGGGCATGGCAGACTCCAATCCATCTAGCACTTCGTGTGCACTTGGTGTGTGGGGGGACGATGAGGTTGGTGTTGCATCTCTCTAGCACACTAGATGTTGACTACAGTCTCCCCCATCCCCGTGGAGGGCAGCTCTGTGCTGTGCTGGGCTCCAGGGACCTCATGCATTTCTGTGTTCTGGATACTGGGTGGCTGAGGGTGCCAGGTACAGCCTGAGTCCCCAAGGCTGGACACAGCCCTGCAAGTGTCAGATGGCCTTCCCGAAGAAGGCTGCTCTTGTGCTGGCTGGGCTCTAGGGGTGACATGCACGTGCGTTCTTTGCCAGATGTTGCCTGAACTTCTAGGTGCTATGCGCAGGCCTGTCTTGCCCAGCAAGGTTCCTCATATATAGTTATGTGATTTGTTGGGCTGAATTAAGTCCCAGGTACATTTCAGGAAAAAAGCCTCAACTGGCACAGAAAATGGCAGCTCCTTGGCTCCCAGACAGGGATCCCTGAGGTCAAAAGAGCCACTGCTTCTTGAGCCCACCCAGAGGGCTGCCCTGACCTTCAAGACTTGCCCATCCTCCAGGACCTGCAGCCTCAGGCTCGGGGAGAAAGGCAGCCCGTTCTGGAGCCACGAGATGGTGGGCATGGGGTTGCCCAGGGCTGGGCACTGTAGGCTGATGGTGCTGCTGGCATTGACAGTCACCTCCTCCACCAGCTCCTCCGTGTCGCCCAGGATCACAGGTGGGGCTGGGGGTCAGAGAGAGAAAGGTGTGGGCGAGTGGCCTGAGGACCCTCTCCCTGAGGGAAGGCCCCAGAGGAAAGATGATTTAGAAGAAAGAGCAGCAGCTGCACTTGGTGCCAGGCTCTGGTTGGGGCTCCTTGTGCCTTGCTCACCAAACCCTGCAGCCTCTAATGCAGCTAAGGCATCCGAGGCACACACAGGGTTGGTGATTCGCCCAAGGTCACACAGCTAGGAAACAGCTAACTTGGAATCTGAACCCTGTTCTACCTGGTTTCAGAGCTCGAAGTTCTACCTGGTTTCAGAGCTCAAGCTCATCACCTCTGCAATAACCTCTGAGTCCAGCAAGATTGAAAATGCACTCTACCTTGACCTCCCTCCAGGCAGGAGTCCCCGCCCAGCTCACGCCTGCCCAGGGACTTCTGAGCAGCCCCAACCCCAGGCCCAGCACTCACTCAGCACCAGCAGCTCGTAGTGCAGCCAGTCCTCGCCCACTTCATTGGAGGCCTTGCATGAGTACCTCCCAGCATCCTCCACGCGCACCAGGGGCATCTGTAGGACTCGGCCCCCTGCAGGGACACAAAGGCCTGAGTTCAGGGGCAAGAGGCTCCCCCAGCAGCAAGGAAACCCACTCCTTCTTCTGGAGGAGACCTGGAACACATAACTGTCTCCCCTCTGCCCCATCTGTGAAAAGAAGACAAAAATCCCTGCCCTGCCTGGGCCATGGGTCAAGGTGAGGATGAAATAAAAGCACAATAATGGCTTCGCTGTGTGCCAGGCCCTGGCTGAGCATTTTCTGGCCTTCTCTCACGATGACTCTGTGGGGTGCGTGTTGTCATCACTCCCATCTTACAGATGGAAAAACTGAGGTTTCCCAAGAGTGCCTAGCAAGAGGGCAGGAGAGCATGTTCAGGTGAGCTGCCATGCGGAGCCCAGCTCCTTGATGAGGCCAGGAGGACTGGGCCAGTGTCCAGGTAGATTCTGTAGTCAAGAGGCTCTCAGGGGGCAAAGAAGGCAGCATCCTGGTTTCAGGGGGTTGGGAGTGGGATGGGAGGCATCACCTGGGGACCTCTATGATCAAGTGCTTACATGAGGGCCAGGAAACTCTGGGACCAGCCAGGGCCAGGACCAAGCATCTACAAAGAGCTGGAGTCGGTCTGTAGTGGGGGCCAAGTTAGGGACCCCTGTGTGCTCAGGATTCCGGGTTGGGGAATCGCTGGCCTAGATTACCAGTGGGCTTGTGACCAAGGTTGGAACCAGGGCTCACTTCATGCAGAGTCAGGGGACAGGGGCTAGGAATGGGGAGGCAGTGGCCATGGGCAGGGGTCAGTTGATGGTTGGGGTTAATCTATGATTAGGGTTAGAATTAGGATCAGTGTGTGATCATGGTCACTCTATGCCCAGGATTAGGAGGCAGTGGCCAGGGTCAGGGTCAGTGGTGGGACTGGAGCTCACGGGCTAGTGCTAGAGGGTCAGTGGCTATTGTCAGGGCTTAGTTGATGGTTGGTATTATTCTATGGTCAAGGTCTGAGTTAGGGGGTCAGCATGTCACCGAGCTCACTGTGTACCCAGGATTTGGGGTAAGCATTCAGGTTGGAGGTTAGTGGACAGAATAAGGGATCAGTCCAGGGGTTTCCAACAGGAGCAATTAGGGTGCGGTAAGTATTGCCTCCCTCCAAGGGGCCACTGTCTTTTGAAACAGCCAAGGTCCAAACCCTGTTAGAACCCTGCTTGTCCGAAGGCCAGTGCAAACTTATCTCCCCCGACCCACCCCTCCATTGGCTCAGACCTAGCTGAACACAGTGCAAACCTAACGGGAGACCATCCAGTCTTCCCTCATGAGGCTCTCAGCAGGGATCTGTGCCTCGAATCCCTCCCAGTGGTGGCTGGTTGGCCTGAGGGAGGCGGGACAAGCAGTCCAGGACACTGGGCACTTCTGAGCCCCACTCCCCATGACTTCGTCATTGTTGAGAATATACACAGCAAAACATACACCAATTCGACTGTTCCTACACGTACAATTCAGTGACATTGATTACATTCCCCAGGTTGTGCAACCACGCTCACCCTCTTTTTCTGAGCTATTCCTCCTCCGCTAACATAAACTCACTGCCCCCTAAGGTTCCTATCTGATCTTTCGAGTTGCTGTTGTCACTTTGATCCCATATAGGTTGTTCTTAAAAGAGCACAATGCTCAAGGCAGACAAGTCACTATTCCAAAGTAAAAGGTTTGTTTAAAAATTAAATAACATTAAATAAACAAATATTTAAAGTGGTTAAAAGGAAAAAGCCACAGGAGCCAGGTGCTTCAACCACAGCGTGGTCCTAAAAGCCCACGGGGATCTTCTTTGGTGTTTTGGGCCATGAACCTTCTTGAGGAGCTTAATAAAGGAACCAACCATCTCTTCAAAGAAAGGTGCCAACTTCTGTCCATCATTTCAAGATGTTACAGATCTCGAAGCCCAGAGGTGTGAGAACCTCACGGCCCAGAGTGAGAACCTCTGTTGTAAAATGTAGACACCGAAGGGGGCCCAGTTCTTGCCTTCAGACAGGCAAAGGACTTCTAGCCCCAGTTTACAAAGGACAAGTAAAGTCCAGAGAGGTCACAGGCCCTGACCGAGGCTGCACAGCAAGTAGAGCATGGGAGAAGGACTCAAAGGACTGATGGAAAGGAGGCCAAGGGGACCAGCTCTGATGTGGGTATGAGCCTGGCCTGACGTACCTTGCAGCACAGACACCCCATCTGTGGCCGAGAGGGGCTGGTCTTCCCTGTACCAGGTGAGCTCCGGGGGTGGGATGGCGTTGGTGTCACAGTACAGGTAGGCAGGGTTGTTCTCCACAATCTCCCGGTACTCCGTCACCCCGCCCCAGACCTCCTCCTCCTGGGACAGGATCCCAAAGGCTTCACTGGCATCGCCCACCTTCTGGAACATGGGGGGCACTGGGTGGGGGCCAGGGTGGGTAGACAAAGGCATTAGGGATCCCATCCCAAGTGCAGGTATTCCACTATTGAGCCATTTCCTTAGGTCAAAGTATCTAATGGACTGTGAAAGACTCCTTGGAATGCAGAAGTATTTTTCAGGGGAGGAAGTCAGGTACTAAGCTGTAGCCAGAGTTTGTTTATGGAAGCATTAAAAAAAAAAAAAAAAAGCCAAACCCATTTCCATCAAGTCAATCCCGACTCATAGCGACACTGTAGGGCAGAGTAGAACTGCCCACAGAGTTTCCAAGGAGAGGCTGGTGGATTCGAACTGCCAGCCTTTTGGTTAACAGCCAACCGCTTAACCACTGCACCACCAGGGCACCTTAGAGGCACAAAATCATCAGCTTTAAGAACTGGAAGGGGGCCTCCAGGTCACCTGATCTGATCACCCATATTTTACAAAAGGCTGAACAAAGGCCCAGAGGGAACAGTGACTTCCCAAGGCAACACAACTAGCTCATGACACAGCGGGAGCTAAAGCACAAAGTCTCCCCTTTCCTTTCCTGGAGAAGGGGCTGAGGGCTGGATTCACCAGGCAGCACTGAGAAGGGGTCTGAGTGGCCAGAACACTCCAGAAGCATCATGTAGCAAAACTTGGCTCTGAAGCTGCCTGCCCGCCTGCTGCCTGCCTCCCTGCCTTTCTTCCGTCCTTTCTTTTCTCCCTCCCTTCTGCCCTCCCTCACCTCTTCTTTCCTTTCTTACCAAACCAAACTCCTTGCTGTCGAGTTGATTTCGACCTTTCTTACTTCCTTTTCTTTCTTTACCTTTTTTTCTTTTTTTTAAAGAAAATGTCAAACGTATGCCAAAGCAGAGACGATAATATCGTGAGCCCCCAGGTACCCACAACCAGCTTCAACAATTATTGGTTCATAGCCACTCATCTCACCCTCACCCTGGGTCAGTCTGAAGCAAAGCCACATGTCTCCTAATAAAGCAAGAGGCCCCTGGCAGAGGGGTTAAGAGCCTAGTGTTTAGGCTCAACCAGACCTGTTTCAAATCCAGGCTCCACCACTTAAAGCTGATCTGGGAGAAAGTAAGCTCATCTCTTTGAGCCTCATTCCCTCAGCTGTAAAGGGCTGAAGGTTGTTGAGATGGTTCCATGGGAAATACTTGTAGGAGGCGTGTGAACAGCACAGACACACAAGTACTTGCTGTGTGAGCGCTGCCTTTACTCCTACGAAGGCTCTCCTCTAGAGGCACTAAGGGGCAAAGACTCCTGTTTCTGTTCAGTAAAGCAAGGGTGCTGTCAGGACACCCTTGAGGGCATTCCTGAAATGCATTCACATTTTATTGAGGGCGATGCCCTCAGCAAAGAGAAGGGCTCCAATGTGAAATTGCAGAGATGGCGGGAGTCGGGGCAGGATCTGCTGGGCAAGGCTGCCCAATGGGGCTGGCCAGGTGAAGGGTACCAAGAGCCAAAGGAGCCAGGGTTGGCTCTGACCACCAAGTGACTCCCCGCTTGCTCCCCTGTGCCCCCAGCCTACTGGCCAGCACACACCCTGGATGAGCACGTTGAAGTCTTGGTCATCCTCGCCAGCCACGTTGGTGGCCACGCACAGGTACCGCCCCGAATCGGAGACCTGCGTGGGCTGGATCTGGAGCAGTCTCCCTTCGCCCAGGATGTGCAGCCGCTCGTGGGGGGTCACAGGCTGGGGGGAGCAAGGGAAAGAGGACGCAGGGGCGCAGAGATCAGAGAGGAGGGGACAAAAAGCAGCAAGATGAGCGTTGTTGTTGTTGTTAACTGCCGTCGAGTCGGCCCCCAACTCGTGACGGCCCCATGCACCAACGGATCAACTGGACCGTTGTGATCCATAGGGTTTGTATTGGCTGATTTTCCGAAGTAGATCATCAGGTCTTTCTTCCTAGTCTGTCTTATTCTGGAAGCTCCGCTGAAGCCTGTTCAGCATCATAGCAACACATAAGTCACCAGTGACAGCCAAGTGGTGGCTGCCCATGAGGTGCATTGGCTGGGAATCAAACTTGGGTTTCCTGCGTGGAAGGTGAGAATTCTACCACTGAACCACCAATGCCCCCTAGACAACTGTATTTATAGTTTAATAAAAAATTTTAATGCAACGTAGAGTAATGGGAACACTCTGATAACAACTTTGTAAAACCAAATCAAGATGTCTTAAAAATTGAAAAGAAAAATTAAATGGGTGACTATAGTAGAATTTAATGTTTATGAGACTTTTCCCTAGTTGAATTTCTTATTACAAAAATAAAGGGTGGACAAGGGGCCCAGGCTAGTTTTAGTGCCAGGTGCTTTAAGGACTGCCTTTTCTGGAAGATTCCAAGCAGAACCAAGGGGACCTAGAGGTCAGAGCCTGAGGCCATCCAGAGGGTGCCCACTCACCTGTCCATCCTTGTACCAGCTGATGGTGGGTGGGGGCACAGCCCGGCACTCACACTCTAGGGTCAAGGTGCTGTTGACCTTGGTCTTCACTTCCTTCATGCCAAACTCCCCCAAGGGGTCATCTTTGGAGATGGAAGGAGGTACTGAAAACCACAAGGGGGTCTGAGGATCAGGCCTGAGGGACAGGGTGTTGACACACCGTGTGCACTCTGGTCTCAGACAGTCCTAGAAATGAGGGGCTGGCTCTGGAGGGTGGAGGAACAGGAACCTGGAGGCCCTTCACTTAGGAGAGAGCGTTTGCCCGTGACGCTTATTAGACAGGGCAGGTCTAGTCAGGGAATTCCGGGGGCCGACCTTGGGGATCCTAAGTCCTCAAGCTGTGAACCCTCTGGCCTCACCCCACAATGGAGTGGCAGAAGGAAGCCAGAAGTGGTGTGGGCGTGGGAGTCCATGTGGAACAAGTTCTAGCTCCCCGTTCCTTGCTCTTAGTGTCCTCAGCTCCAAATGGGAAATGGCTAAGCCCAGCGCAGATGCCTTGTGAACCTCAGAGGAGACAAGTACTGGGCACGCTGGGGGTCCAGTGTGACCCAGGTGCTGGTGTTCTGGAAGGCGCTGGACTCACTGAGGACTTCCACGTGGTAGTTCTTCATGGCCTCCCCAAGCTCGTTTGTGACCACGCAGGTGTACTGGCCCGCATCTTCCTCCTGGGCATTCAGGATCTGCAGCCCATGGGTACCTGCTTGAGGGGCAGGAGCCACGGTCACCATACAGCTGCAGCCTCATTAGGCATGAGGCTCAGGCCCACCAGTCCCCTTCCTGTGACCCAGTCTGAGGACATGTCACCTGTCCCCTCACTCCTCTCTCTGAGGGCATCACCTGGGAGCAGTTGGATGTTCTTGGAAATCTCAAACGGAGCCCCATCCTTCATCCAGGTGATGGTGGGGGAGGGGAAGGCCAGCGTCTCACAGATCAGAGAAATGGGGTTGTTGACGGTCACAGTCACTTCCTCGTCCGCACTGTTCTCGGTCACTCCCAGAATGGTGGGAACTACTGTGGTGGGGGGTGAGGAGGGTGCTTTTGAACAAGGATCCCCAACCCTGAGGGTCCTCAAGGAACCAGGAAAGCCTCAGACCCTGGCACCTACCCTCGGTGCTGTCATTATCTGCATTACACAGACAAGGAGACTGGCTGTCAGAGAGCCCATACTCAGTGCAGCCACACTTGAATTCAGGCCTGGCAGACCCAGTGCCCAGGTTCTTCACCACTAAGCTGGGTAATTTGTTATCCTCAGTTTCCCAGTCTCTCAACATCTAGGTTATTTATGAATGTAACCAGAACCTTCTCAATTCTGTTTATGTTTCCAGTCTATGTGATCCCCTGGGCTAGGGGCCACTGTTCTGCTCCCTGCAGGGTGGTGTACCTCTGCTTTCACTGGCCCTAAAATGTCCTCTTTCAGCCCCTGTAGGGGATGCTTCCTTTCCCCACTAGCATTTTCAGAAGCAAATTTTACTGAAGCAGTCTGTGTCCCCCTCATCTTTGTACAGTCCCTGCTTCTCCAGCCTAACAGGACAGTATGTGACGCACTCAGCAGATGGACTTCCTGGGTGTGAATACACCACCCCAGGGCCTGGCATGAGCCACTTGTCTCTAAGGCTCAGAAGCCTCGTTGGTGACATGGGAACAAGCATATCTCCCGCCTGCAAGGGTTTTTGGGAGGATTAACCAACCAGGCCTGGCCAAATGCCTGGCCCGACAAATGTTCAATCAATATAGCTACTCTTATTATTGTTGTTGTGTTGAACTTGGAGAAACAGAAGAAAGATAGTAGAGAACTTTGTGGCTCTCCCTCCTGCCAGTGCCCAGGGTAGCCAGGAGATACCCCGGCACTCACCCAGGACCCTGAGCTGGATGTGCTTGGTCCTCTCCCCTGCAGTGTTGGCTGCGATGCAGGAGTAGTGACCAGCGTCGGACAGATTGGTCTGGAGGAGCTTCAGAAGGGCTCCATCTGGGGAGATGTCGTGGGTGTCTCCACTAGGCAGGGGCCGACCATCTTTGAACCATGTGACCTTGGGCTGTGGGTGGCCTGTCCACATAGGAAAGGAAGCAGGTGAAATAATTCAGCAGGCTTGACCAGGCTGGCCCAAGGGTTGAAGGCTGCTCTGGAATGGGGCAGGGGACGTGAATTCTCCTTCCAGGTCCAGAGGCCTGGGCAGCAGGGCAGGACACAGAAGCAGGCCTGGTGTGGGCCCCTTTCCTATGTGTTTTGGTTGCCTTTTCCTCACTGAGGAGTGGGTAGAGATGGCTCAATATAGATGGGCAAGACACAAAGGCAAGATATTCTTTCCTTCCTTTCATCCATCTGACCATCCATCCATCCATCTTTCTGCCCACAAGCATTAATGGAGGCCTACTCTGCCTACTCCTTAGAAGCAAGGATGGCGAGACTTCATCTCTATTTTGGGCATGTCCTCAGAAGGGACCCGTTCCTGGAGAAGGACGTCATGCTTGGTAGAGGGTCAATGAAAAAGAGGAAGACCCTCAACAAGATGGACTGACACAGTGGCTGCAACAATGGGCTCAAGCATAGCAAGGATTATAAGTATGGCGCAGGACCAGGAGGTGTTTTGTTCTGTTGTACACAGGGTCGTATGAGTCAGAACCGACTCGATGGCACCTAACAGCAACAGCTCTGCCAGGAGGAGCCCCTGTGTTGTGAAAATGGTTAAGAGCTCAACTACTAGCCAAAAGGTTGGTGGTTCAAACCCACCCAGAGGCAACTCAGGAGACAAGCCTGTGATCTGCTTCCAAAAGGTCGGTCTTGAAAACCCTATGGAGCAGTTGTGGTCTGTACACATGGGGTCTCCATGAGTCAGAATTGACTTGATGGCAACTAACGACAACCATGTTAGGCACCGGGAAAACCATGGTGACAAGGTAGTCCGTTGGTCCTCAAGAAGCTCAGAGCCTGGCTTGGGAACACAGATGTCACAAGACCTCTGTGGCCCATTGTTGTCAGTGCTGGGACAGAGAAGCACTGAGGGCTGTGGGAGCAAAGGCCTCCTGCGGGAAGGTTCGGGAAGCTGAGATCTGTAGGCAGGTGAGGAGTGGGGAGAAGCATTTGGGCTAGAGGGGGCAGCAAGTGCAGAGATGAGCAGGGACACAGAGCTGAGTCCAAAATGTAGAGAGAACCTTGGTGTGGAACGGTGGGGCTGGGGGCAGATAGGCCAGAGCCCAGGGCCCTCCTCCTTTCCGAAGCTACCTCCTTACTCCTCTTCCAGCCTTTCATGTGGGTGTGGCCCTTACCTGTGGCATTGCACATCAGGTGGGCAGTCTGCCCCTCTGGGACCTTGATCATCTCTTCCAGGTCCTCCTTCTCAATACTGGGAGGAACTGGGAGAAGCAGGGAGACAGACACTTACTGACTGGGGTTGTCACTTAGGCTGAACTCTGTGGCGCAAGAAGCCAAGAACCTACAACTCCTCTCTTCAGTTTCCTGTGCCTCAGTTTCCCCATCCCCTCACACCTGCTCCCACGAGGCAGTGAGTTTAATAAACATTTGTTGCTGGCTGAGGGAAAGAACCAGTGCCTCTGGGGAAGGCCCAGATTATAGGAAGGCAGTTGTGGTGGTGGTGAAAATATTTGCCCCTTCTACTACGGGTTAGTTCCTGCTTTTCTGGAATGTTCCATGGCAGCCTGAGAGCAGAGGTTACTGGTGAGACAAAGAAAAGAAGGCTCGGCCTTTCCCTCTTTCCCTGTGCTGGGCCTCCTGCTACAGCATGAGCTGTTAGATCTGGGTCCTGCCCCTAGAAGCTTTTAAGCTGGAAGGGAAGGATTCATGGGGTGCCCATGAGAATAGGGCCGCGACATACCCAGGACCTCCACTCTGAAGTTCCTCCGCACCTCTCCAGCCTCATTGCTTGCCAAGCATGAATAGAGGCCTCTGTCTTGCTCCTGCGCCTGAGTCATCTTCAGCATCCAGCCACCTGGGGAGGGAGGGGAGTGGGGTCCAAGCATGGCTGTGAGTGGTCTTCTGTCCCAAGCCTAGCCCAGGAACGGGAGAGTACCAGGCGCTATAATTAGGTGTGTACATGTCTGTTACCCTCAGCGTCCCATTCTTTAGATGGGGAAAACTGAGGCCCAAGGAGGATTAAACAGATAGATGGACCCACCTGGACATTAGGCCCGCACCAGGGTAAACTTGAGGACCCTGTTCTAGCAAGATGGGTCTGTCACTCTGACCACTTCTGGCTCTGAGGACTGGCTGGGGCTAAAAGGACAGCAATGGGCTATGGGGTCCTGGCCCAAGTCTTTGCAAGATTTGAATGAGACACTGCTTCTGGGGCTTCAGTTTCCCCATTTGTATACTAGGAAGAACTATCAAAAAACCAACTTTGTGAGGAGAATGAAATATTCAGCAGAGAAGGTGCTAAGACCAGCATTTCCAAAACTTGGTTACTGTTCTGTAGATGTTGTAAGTGCCACTCGATTTTTTTATTTTTTTACTGCAGGACTTATCAGAACCTTTACTGTGAAAATGTGCACTGTGTGGATCTCCAGGACAGGAGTACAGTAGGAAGGCTTTTCCAAACTTACTTAAATTCAAAAGTTATTTTTTCTTGGAGCACCTCATCTGACCAGTGTTTTCAGGTGCACTATGTAGGGACCAGTGGCTGGAATGGTTACCCCAAACAGGTCTGGCAGCTCAGGGTCAAAAGTCATGGACACGTAACAGGCAGAGGCAGAAGGCTAGATCTTCTTTGGCTGTCACCTTACCTGCCAAGAGATAGGTGTCCTCCCCGGGGCTGATGGGTTCCTCCCCTCGGAACCAGTGGATCTCTGGTGGTGGGATGCCTGTGGCTTCACAAAGCAGCGTCAAGGGGCTGTGCAAGGCAGTGGTGACATTGGTCAGCAGGTCTGAATCGCCAATGAGCTCTGGGGGCACTAGATACAGAGAAAAGGCTGTGCTCAGGAGGCATACTAGGCACTGGGCACGCTTCCCAAAGACCCCCACCTTCCACGTCAAGAGAGGCTGAGGAGCAGAAAGGACAAGGTCAGGGCTGCTCCCGCTGAAGCTGTGACACCTAGAAGGGCACAGGCGGAGCTATGGAGTCAGATGAACACTTTGGCCTCAGTTTATCCAACCCATCAGAGGGATGTGGAGAGAAATTCAACAAGAACATGTGCAAAGCGCTTAGCACAGTGCCTGTCCCAGAGCACATGCTGAGCAAGTAAGACTGGCCCTAGAGCAATTCCCTACACCAGACCTAAGGGATGGCTCTGCACGTTTAAAAGGACCCGTTCATTCATAAAGGAAGCCACACTCGACAGAGCGAGGGTAACAGGGCGATGCTCGCCATCACATGCTGGGGGCCCGATGAGAGGAGGGCCTCTGTAAACCCACCCCTGCCCACCTCTCCCACCTTACCTCTTACCACTCCCTGCCTCTACCCTAAACTACACTCCAGGAATACAGTAGGAGCTCCAAACATCACTGGAATGAACGAAGCTGTTTCTGTTACCCTGAATGAGCTGTGTCACTCCTCCAGGCCTGTGCAGAATCTGCTCCCTCTGCCTGGTACACGCTTTCCCTCTCCTGCACCCGGTTAAATCCTACTCAGCCCTCATGTTTCAGCTTAAAGGTCATCTCCTCCAAGAGGCTGCCCTGACTTCCCACAAGAGTTCAGGGGCTTTCTGGTCTCTCACAGCCACCTGAACTCCCCCCATCACGTGTCAGTCATGCAGGATATACCCCCCAAAAAACCTGACATATAGCGACCCCATGTGTGTCAGAGTAGAACTGAGCTCCATAGGGTTTCCAATGGCTGATTTCTTTTTTTTCAGAAGCAGATCGCCAGGCCTTTTTCTCAAAGCACCACTGGGTGGCCTTGAACTGCCAACCTTTCAGTTAGTAGCCTAGCGTTTCCATTTGCACCACCCAGGGACTCTTTCATGTAGGATAAAGATTGCTTATTTCCCCAGCCCCCGGAACAGAGTAGGGGAAGAGTAAATAAGGGAGAGAGAAAGGGTGGGAGGGAGGGAGGATGGATTGAGGAAATTGGGGCTATTTGGGGTCAGTCCCTGATTTTGATAGCACTGTTGATGGCTGCCCCCAGCACCAGCCCTCATCAGAGACCTGAGCCCAGAAGAACAAGGGGTGAGGCCAGTAGCAGAGCCGAGGGCTGTGCCTGGAGGTTGACCTGGCCTTGCTCTCCAGCCTCACCCCTTCCCGCCCTCCTGGAAGGCTGCCAGTCCGCCAGTCCTCACCCAGCACGGAGAGCGCAAACCTCCTCTCGGCCCTCCCAGCCACGTTCTTGGCCACGCAGCTGTAGCGTCCGGCGAGGGCAGCCTGTGCCTGCACCACGTGCAGGCTCTGTCCCTGGTTCTGCAGCTGCAGGCCAGGCTCGTCCTCAACCAGCTGGCCATCACGTTCCCAGGTCAATGTTGGCGGGGGTTTCCCTGTGGCATTGCATTCCAGAGTGGTCTCGCTGTCCTGGACCACAGAGATCTGTGTATGTGGCTCCCAGGGGCCAGTGATCTGAGGGGGAACTGGGGTTGGGAAAGGGCACATCAGGGAAAGTAGCTCCAGGCGGGCCACTTGGTGGACATGCCCCCATTTAGGCCTATGCCCTCACCCTGTCACTCACTGGCTGTGTGACCTTGGCCAGTGAGCCCACCTCTCTGTGCCGCCACTTTCCATCTCTTTAATGGGTCAGAACAGTGCCCCACTGCCACCTCTCCCACACCCTGGGGGTCATGGTCACCACCCACTCCTCCCCAAGTTCCCCCCATCCACCCCCCTCTGCAGCCCAGCTGAGACAGAGCCTCGGCAGCACCCCACTTCATAGGCCTGCAGTTTGGGGAACAGCTCACCCCACTGCCCTTTTAGGTTTTGTGAGGGCTTTTCTAACTCAGAAACCAGAGGCTTCCTGGAGCTTAAACAGTGCGGGGGGTAGGTTGGGGACAGGGAAAATTCCACTCAGGGCGCTTTTGCCACAGGATGCTGAGCAGAGCTTCGCTTGGTTTTGTTTTCTAGCAGGATTTTTACAAGGCTACGATATTCAGTTATGTCCCTGCTGGACAAATAGAAGTAGACTTGGGTTTCCGATGTGTGTGGGAGCTTCATATAATTTTGACGGTTTTCTTGTTTCCAACTGTGTTATTTTCTCAGGGTCACTGGGAGGTACTTAGAGGTTGTGGGTCATAGGGGGTATTTAGGGATCATGTTGCCCACTTTCCCATGCTCAGGTTAGGAGCTATAACAAAATGGACAGGGAAAGGCAGTTCATCAGATGCCAATCATCTAAGAGAGAACATGGAAGCATCCTTGTCCTTGCTGTTCCTATCTTTCCTAGGGATCTGGGCATGGGTAGGTGGTCTGCCCTGCCAGTGTGCCCCTTCTCTGCCTTTCTGGCCCCTCCACCACCTGGCCTGGCTCACCGTGCACCTCCAGCTGCTGGTCCTGGCTGCTGTTCCCTGCCACGTTGCTGCACTCACAGGTGTAGATGCCCTCCTGGCTGGGCCGGGCCTGCCCCAGGTACAGCAGCCTCCCCACAGCTGACACCTGCTCAAGGCCGGCCCCCTCCTCAGACAGGGGCTGACCTGGATGCAATGGGAAAGAAGCCCCTGCTTCAGGGCATTTGTAGGGACACACAGTCGTTCCACCCGAAACCCTTGGCCTCCCATATTTGCCAACTCCTACTCATCCTTCAGGTGTCCACATAGATAGCACTTCCTCCAGGAAACCCCTCAATGCCGAATCGGGTCCTGAGCTCCTTCTGAGCCCCCACAACTCCTGAGCTGCTCCCCATCATAGTCTACCTGCAAGTGTCCCATCTGAATTCTCAGGGGCCTGGGCTCTCCAGGAGGGCAGACCCTGACTCACTTTCCCCCTGGTGTCCTTAGAGCCTCCCAGGCCCTGACACCAAGCAGGGCTCAGTGAAGGCTGCTGAATGAATGACCCATCCAAGGGGCTAGTACACATGGCTGCAAGAAGACCTCAACGTGGGAGAAGGTCTTTGTGAACCTTGAAGCGCCGGATCAAACACTAATTGCTGTCATCTTGCACCTGTGTATAGAGGACCATACTCCACGCTCCAGTCATTCAATGCACACCCAAGCAGTGGGAGGGGACCTGGTGGTCACGTGAAGATTCCTTCCTCCAACATTGGGAGCAGCCCCAAGGCTCATTCTCCTCCTGATCCATGCTCCCCCCTGGGGACCTCATCCTGTCTCGTTGCTCCCAGATTTATTCTAAGTGCGGACCTCTCCCCTGAGCTCCAGACCCCTACATCTGCCTGCCCACTTGACATCTCACTAAGTGTCTAACAGGCGTCTCAAAATTAACACGCCTTTCCCCCAGACTGTTCTGGCAGCCTCCCCTGCTGTCAGGCCAAACACCTGGGAGCCATCCCCGACTCCTCCCTTCCTCTCACTCCCCATCCAACCCGGCTGGAAATCCTGGCAGCACCGCTTTCGAAACACATCAGACTCCCTCCCACCACCTCGTGGCCACCACCTAGTCCAGGCTGTGGCATCTCTTGCCTGGAGCCCCAAATCAGCCTCCTCACTGGCCGCCAGACTTCCACCCTTGCTCCCAACGGTCTAGTCTCAGCCCAGTGGCAGGGTGGTCCTGTTAGAAGGTAAGTCAGACTGTGTCGCTCCTCTGTCCAGAGCCCTGCAGAGGCCCTGAGAGCCACAATGGCCTCGTTCTGGTGACCACCTTCTGCTTCCCTCTCCCTTGCTGACTCTGCTCCAGCCCCACTGGCCTCTTTGCTGTTCCCTCAGACATTCTTGGCTTCCACCTGCCCCAGGGCGTTTGCACCTGCTATTACCGCTGCCTGAAATGCTTTTCTCCCCATGAAATTCTCATGCTCATCCCTCACCTTCTTCAAGTCTGCACAGTCAAATGTTTCTGGCCACCTTGCTTAAAATTGAAAGTGCTACCCCCAGCACATATCCCCCTTCCTGGCTTTATTTTTCTCCAGAGCACTTATCACCTAAGGTGCCAAGTCATTTACTAACTTTTTGTTTATTATCTGGCTTCCCCTACTCTGAGGGTGGGGATTCATCTGTGTTTGTCCACTGCTGTATTCCCGTACCTACAAAAGGGCTCGGCAGAGAGAGGCTTTCAATAAATACCAGCTAAATGAATGAATTCCAAATATTGATTGAGCACCTATCTTGTACCAGGCATTGAACTTGGAATTCAGTGGTGGCCAAGACAGTGCCTTATGAGCACACGGAAGGACTAAGGTGGGTGACGTGACAAGTTAGCACAACAGGGCTGCATTAACGAAGCCCTGCCTCAGCCTGGGAGTGGGGGTCAAGGAGGGCTTCCTGGAAGAAGAGACATTACAAGTGAGGCCTGAGGACTAATCCAGCTCTCAATGGCTAGGGAGGACCAAGGAAGAGGGGACTGCAGGCCCAGGGTCAGAGCAAAGAGAGGCTGAGAGAATTGTTACCGCATCCCTTAGGTCAGTAAGCCCACCCATCTCAGCTAGGCCTGGTGGGTGGGAGGTGGGGAGTGGCTTCCTTGTGCTGGGCAGTGAGGTGGGGCTGGGTGAGAGCAACGATCCTACCGTCTTTCCTCCAGGAGATCTTGGGGAAAGGGACACCCTGGCATTCGCAGGACAGCCTGGCAGGGTGCCCCTCAGTCACCGTCAGGGTTTGAGGCTCCCTTGAGGGGAACACTGGAGGGACTGAATCAGAGAGGAGAGGCGGTAAGCTGGGATGTGAAAAGGATGGGGGAGGAGGGGTTCAGCCGAGGCACACTCAGCTATGGCAGGGGTAGAGGGGACCCTGAGGTGGGGGAGAGGGAGCCCCAGCCCAGCCTGGGAGACCCTCACCCCAGACGTTCAGGTTGTAGTGTTTCTCCGAGCGGCCTGCCCGGTTCAATGCCTCACAGATGTAGTGGCCTGCGTCCCACACCTCCACTCGGTCCACCTGGCCGAGAGGAAAAAGAGATGGGGCCACCCCTTGGACAGACTGTATGACCTGAGACCTGTCACTGTACCTTGCTGGAACATGGGGTAGTGATCACACCTCCCACACCTCCTGCACAGAAGAGGTTCCAGAAGGCAATGCCTGCGGCGGGCCTGACAAGGGCCAGGCACACAGAATGGGCTCTGTGGATGGCAGCCCTGTGGCCTCATTCCATTTCACATCCACAGCACTAACCAACTGTTCTGGGAAGCCCAGCCTTGCTGAGGTGGAGAGATGTCCCTGGCTGGGTCAGACACCCTCCTGCCCTTAATCAGCTTCTTTGGAAAGTCCAGGAGAACAGACCAGAAGGAAAGGCGGGAAATGAGGAAGGGTGAGGGTGGAAGGACCCTGACTCAGGGGTCAGATCCAGGAGAGGCCACATACCTCCAGCAGGGCCTTGTCTGTGGAGAGGCGAACTCCAGGCCGAGGGTCAAGGGGGCGCCCATCTTTCCACCAGCTCAGTACAGGAGGTGGCATGGCGTGGCTCTGGCACTCCAAGGTCACTGATTGATCGGCCACAACCGACACATTCAGCTCTTCTCCCAGGATGCTAGGGGGCACTGTGGGGGGGGGTGAGAGGGAGCAGGAAATGAGCTCACTCAGGAATGAGGTGGTGGGGCAGGCAGGACAGAGGCAGTAACCGGGGTCAGCCCTGGCCCTCTTTGAGGCTACTTTCAGCAGCCAGGAACAAATACCAGGGGATGGGGGAGTCACTTTCAAGACTGGCGTCTGCCCCCGGAGCTGTAAGCCTCTTGTCACCCAACCTCCCTTCCCTACCCCTCAAGTCCCTTCACAGTCCTGCTTCAAAAGGAAGTCCCCAAATCTGAAAGCAATGGGTGGATTGCAATAATGTCCATATCCTGGATATGATATTGTATTACAATTCTGCAAGATATTACCATTGGGGAGACTGGGCAAAAGGTATCAAGGATCACTCTGAATTATTTATCATAATTGCATATGAATCTACAATTATCTCAAAACTAAAATTTAAAAAATAATAATAATTTTTTAAAAAGCAGACCCCAGAGCTGACTTTCCCTTTGAGAACAGAATAACCACGGCAGCCTAGTGGTTAAGAATGCAGGGTCAGGAGTCAGAACTCTTGGGTTGGACTCCTGCATTCTACAGCTCACTCACTGGGCAAAGCCCTGGAGACGTTCCTTGGCCTCTCAGAGCCCTGGTTTCCTCATCTGTAAAATGAGAATAAAGAAAGCACTCCTCTTGCGGGGTCACTGTAAGGATTAAGAGAGACACCAGTGGACCACGTGTACACAATACTTGTCACCATTATCATCATTCCAGCCAAGGAAGAAAGCTCGAGTCTACACTTCCCACACTGCCTTCCCAAGGCTCTGCATTTCCCAGACACCTTACATGGACCTCAAAAGATCTCCACCAAAGCCCATGGGAGGGAATTAAGAAACAATAGCAACTATAACTGTGTGCCTAGTAGGCTTAATGCATCCCCATGGCAACCTGTGAGGTGGGTGCTATTCCTTCCCTCATTTTATAGATGAGGAAACCAAGGCCCAGAGAAGCAACATGACTAGCCCAGGGTCACAGAGCTAGTAAGTGAAGAAGGCAGGGTTGGCTGCTTACACATCACTGGGTAACAGAAGAAATCAGAGATGGACTCAAAAAATTCTTAGAATCAAATGAGAGTGAAAATACTTCATAACAAAACCTTTGGGACACAGCAAAGGCAGTCCTCAGAGGACAATTTATAGCAATAGATGCACACATCGAAAAAGAAGAAAAGGACAAAATCAAAACATTAACTACAGAACTCAAACAAATAAAGAGAACAGCAAAAAAAGCCCACAGCCACCAGAAGAAAGGAAATAATAAAGATCAGAGCAGAAATAAATGAAATAGAGAAGAGAAAAACAATAGAAAGAATC